AACCTAAGCTACGCAAAACGTATTAATAATCGAATTAACTATTAATATAAATTATGTTTTCCGAGGACTATGAAAAAGGTCCTCGGAAGGTGTGTATGTCCTCGGAAGTAGCCATATATATGTATTTTTGTCCTCGCAACATATAGCAATCCAAGTACACATACAGACACACAAACTGCAAAGACTCACTTTTTGTGCTTCGCACACGGGAGTCAAAAACTTTATTTAAATTCACTTAAACTAAATTTTAAATGTTTCAGATTCACATTGTAACAGAAACGAAATATAATATTACATTCAATAATAGATAGTGCATGACAAACGAGGAAAGTAACTCTTTTTCTATCCTAGAAAATATATTGCTTGGTACTTAGTCAAATTACTTGCCCTCTCCCCTCCCGTTGTGTATTCAAAAATATCCATGTTTTTCACTGCACTAAGAAATCGGTATATGAAATATTCTGATTGGCACTATAGGCCAGGGCGAGTCGGATCTTTCTGACATAGCGTTTTATATAGAGTTTATTCTATGTCAGAATATTGTGAGATTTTAATTAACATTGTGTTGTTTTGTAAATTAAATTTGTGATGCGAGAGACTGAGTGCTGTTTTGCGTTATAAATGTTTGTTTCAAAGCTATTAGTTTGTGTTTCAAGAAATTGTTTTGTTTGGTAAAATAAAATTATGTCATGAGAAGTCAGACATTGAACTATTTACCTTTGTTGTTATAGGTTTCTCCACAATACAATGTTTCCCTTGCTCTGCTGCCCTCACAGCCCATTCAGCATGCAATGAATTCGGCAATGGAATATAAACTGCATTTATTTCACTATCGGTCAATAAGTCGTCATAACTACCATACACTTTCGGTATATTCCACATCTTTGCTGCACTTTCAGCCTTTTCAATACTTCGACTCGCAATTGCTGTAACCTGACTTCTTGGAGATTTCAGTAGCTGGGGGATAAATCTGTTGTTGATGTTGGCTGTTGATAAAACTCCCCACCTCAACATTCTGTAACTGATTATATATTATAATATATTACATCGACATGGTCTCCTCAAAATCCCATATGTATCGTACTGGAACAAATGATCTATGGACGTAGTTCCCCGTAGAATGGGCAGTGGCAACCCATATATTTCACCGAAATTCATTGGTGATTTACCAACGCCACAATGGTAATATTATGTTAAAAAAATTATGGTGGTTACAATAATCTTATTTACCTGGTGTACTCGTAGCCGAGTTTTGACGTGGTCCAGGGAATGAGATCCAGGACAACAGAATATCTGCATGTGTACAGGTCAATATGACGTTGGCGTTGGCTTTTGATTCAGATTCGCATTCGATTCACCTACATTTGTTTTCATAAATTCAATAGGTATTTATAAATCAATTTAAGAACATTGGGAAGATAAAACAACCATTCTTACAATCACTAATCTCATTCCATTCAAGACAGTTAAACTTGTTTTATAAGACGTGTTGTTTTACCAATAATAATGTTAAAATAAGCTAGTTGTGTAAGGAGGCAACTGAATACAAACAATGCGGGACGTTTGTTTATTTGAAATTCGAATACGCGCTGCGTGACGACCGCCGCCTCTTAAATGTTTTCAAACCGTTCAATACTTCTCTTATGGAAAGGCCTATACGCAATAGATACGCGATAGGTACGCGATAGATACTCAATGGACATTTTGTACTCGGCAGCAGCACGCAAGAAAACCCAGGAAACTTGACTTATTCAACTAACGTCGGGCAAATGATCACCTGCGCTCGAGCACAAACGCCCATATTCGGTCAGTAATATATAAAATTGAAGATGCTACACTGCGAACAATCATAGACAAAAATGACAATAAGCTGAGAGAGTGAAACTAGATGCATTTAAGGATATATACAAAAGACAAACCGAAGCCCAGGCGAACTAAACTTAATTGTATTTACTAATGTTTTGAACAGATTTTAATAGCAAAAGTTCTCCTGACCACATGCCTTACTATGTTCAAGAGATTTAATTTCACTTTTTACAGACTTGTATTTTCATAATGTACTGATATGTTCAATATGCAAATTAAAATTATTAAAAAGATGATTTTGTATGTTTTTGCATGAGCTCTTGGGTACCGATCATGCATATGATTTTACTTACACTAAATGGATCCTGGGACCTATACGCCAGAGGTACCAGATATATTTAAGCTATACAAGAGAGGTACCCAACAGAACCAATGAAATTAAAGCGGACCAGTCTGTTGGTAGAAGTATTTTCATGGCCTGTTAAACAAACCAATCTCACCTGTAACTGAATTCAAAAAAGTTGTAATTAGGAACCTAGAACTACACGATGAGCACTGTGACCAGTGTGTTGATAATGTGCCACTTGATTTAAATGCAAATATAACTATGTTAGAAATTGAGAAAGCGATTAGAAGTTTGGCAAATAACAAGGCTCCGGGTCACAATGGCCTTGTAATAGAACCACAAACATAGCTGGACACACATTGGTCCTGTCTTATTGCTTCTATTCAATAACATACTCTCCAGCTACAACTTTCCATTAACCCGGTGTAAAGCCATTATCTCACCACTACATAGAAAGGTGATCGTTCTGATGTCAACAATTACAGGGGCATCTCCCTTCTATCAGTAACAAGCAAGATTCTAACAAAAATCCTAAATTCACTGGTGTCGTAAGAATTGTATATTATCTGAAGCGCAATTGCGCAATGTGGTTTTCGGCGAGGCTACAGTACAAGTGACAATATTTTCACACTCCAAGCCATGGCAGCAAAATATTTAACGAAGAAAAAGGGGCGCTTTTATTGTATTTTTATTGATTTCGCTAAGGCGTTTGACTCGATTCAACACGATTTTCTGTTGTCGAAACTAATCAATTAAGGGATTCATGGCAAATTCTTGTCGGTTATCCGCTCAATGTACAGTAAGTTGCAATCTTGTGTTATTTTATCTGGTGGTCTCACTGAATATTTTAAATGCACTATCGGGACACGACACTGCTTAGCCCTATATTGTTTACTATTTGTATCCATGATCTCGTCACGGTTTCATACACTAGTACTGTTGGATGTGAGGGTGTTTGCATTGACAACGATCTTCACAACCTTAATATCTTGATGTACGCGGATGACGTAGCCGTGGGTTCTGATATGCCTATACATACCCAACGACAAATAAATAAAGTACACCAATTTTGTTCTCACTGGGGTCTAACTCTAAACCTAAACAACACACAGATAATTGTTTTTCGCAGGGGTGGTTATCTAAAACAAGGTGAAAATGGTTCTATCGCGATCATAAAATTAAAATCGTCCCTCAGTACAAGTATCTTGGTGTATTATTTTCATCCAGATTAAGTTGGAATCCGACAAAATTAAACCAATCAGCACAGGGTAAAAAAGCAATGTTTCAACTTAAAGTATTGATTCGAAAACTTTGTGGTATGACCACATCGGATTCATTCAAATTATTTGATTCCATCATTATGCCAATCTTATTATATGGTAGTGAAATCTGGGGTCACGAGAACGCTCCTCAAATTGAACAAGTTCAGAATCAATTTAAATTTGTAAATTTCTACTCGGTGTAAGTAATAACTCAAGCGATTTATCAGCTGTTGGCGAATGTGGTCGTTTTCCTCTCTATGTTATTTACTTTAAAAGATGCACTAGCTACTGGCTGAGATTATTACAAATGGACGGTAATAGATATCCTCATAAATGTTATTTAATGTTAAAAAGATTATCCGAACAACGTGTTATAACATCGGTAACTTGAAATTGGGCTTTTAATGTAAAAATTTTGCTATTTCGCTTTGGATTCGGTCATGTATGGCTGAACCAAGGTGTAGGCTCGAAAAGTGTGTTTCTTTCACAGTTCACACAGAGAATAAAAGATTGTGCGAAACAAGTATGGCACGACGACACTGCTTCTTCCCCCAAACTCCGTTCCTATCTCGATTTTAAGTCGTCACTTGAACAAGAAAAATATCCATGTATCCATGTTTTCAAATTCAGAGCTGCATTGTCAAGGTTACGTTGTTCTTTCTCACAGCGTATTGAAAAGGGAAGACATGAAAATGTTCCCCTCGATAATAGATTGTGTGAATATTGTGTTGAACGCAATCAACTTTATGTTGAAGACGAATATCATTTTATAGTTATTTGCCATCGTTATCAACGTATTAGAGTAGATTTTTTGCCTGTATGGTTTTGCACCAACCCCACTTACAACAACGTTATCTCGCTCATGAGTTCAAGAAACGATGTAATTTTAAATCAGTTAGCGAGTTATGTTTATTTTGCCATGAAATGCAGAACTTGGATGATTTTTGTTTGTTTTTCTATTGTTGCAATTGTTAAGTGAAACTGTATTTGCTCTTTGGGCCAATGGCATTTTGCTTTGCAAATATACTACTACCCAACAGAACCTGGGACCTATAAGCGTGGATGAGTACCTGGCAGATCCTGGTACCTATACGCGGGGATGAGTACCTGGCAGATCCTGGTACCTATACGCGGGGATGAGTACCTGGCAGATCCTGGTACCTATACGCGGGGATGAGTACCTGGCAGATCCTGGTACCTATACGCGGGGATGAGTACCTGGCAGATCCTGGTACCTATACGCGGGGATGAGTACCTGGCAGATCCTGGTACCTATACGCGGGGATGAGTACCTGGCAGATCCTGGTACCTATAAGCGTGGATGAGTACCTGGCAGATCCTGGTACCTATAAGCGGGGATGAGTACCTGGCAGATCCTGGTACCTATACGCGGGGATGAGTACCTGGCAGATCCTGGTACCTATAAGCGTGGATGAGTACCTGGCAGATCCTGGTACCTATAAGCGGGGATGAGTACCTGGCAGATCCTGGTACCTATACGCGGGGATGAGTACCTGGCAGATCCTGGTACCTATACGCGGGGATGAGTACCTGGCAGATCCTGGTACCTATACGCGGGAGGTACCCGACAGAAATGTAGGATATGCAAATTAATACCCGATAGATACGCAAAAGGTACGCAGCAAAACTAATTTGCATGTCAAATACGTATACCGATAAGTACTCAAGAAACTATACCCAAGAAATACTCGAAAGATACTTATATACCCGACAGAGGGGAAATTTCCATAAGGGTTATAACATTTATCTTTTAACATTGTTGTACCATATTCCATACTATAGACTGAATTGACTATGGTTTACCATAGATGTATTCCTAAATACGCATGTGCAGACTATGCGTACCAAAACAACAGTGCGCTTACGTATTAGAGAATTTCATTGTTCCATCAAACGAATACTCTAGTGGCTATCAAATGCGAACTTCGGGTGATATTTACATATTTTAATTATAGTACATAATTAAATATAATAAACTTGCTCCAATTGATAAAGGTTAACGTTAATATTATTGTTTCTAGTCAGCGAGCATACAAACAATATACAATAATGCGGGACGAACATATTTGTTGTAGTTTCAATGCCGAAATTCCTGAAAAATGATGTAAAATGATTATTAGTATATTGCGACGTCTTTGTTTGTGTGTGTGTGTGTGTGTGTGTGTGTGTGTTTTCAAATTTCAATATTTGAATCGAACCCGAATCTGGAGATTTGAAAGCAAGTTGAAGGCGAATTTGGAACGAATAACAACGTAATCTGAATCAAAACCCAACTTCGCGACTGCATTGACCCGCAGGTCAGCATCATGGATATCACCTGACTGGTCATGTGACATACAAAGTTCATCCTTTCGTGAGTAAACCTATCGATAGACTGCCCAGTACCGACCGTATTTTCCAATTATTGTCGGGAAATAGAAATGACTAAACCCACGGAACTACGAGTGTTAACACTCAACTGCTGGTGAGTTTCTTTTTTAATATCTTGTAATGATATCAGTCATGTTGTGCGGAGAAAAACAAACAAACAAACAGATTTGGTCAATTTTGCGTTGCGCCGTTGCCAGATCTACAATTATTGTAGTGTTTAGAACATGATCGCGTGTACTCAGGAATATTCTCATTTTTTCATTCCCTGGAAGATTGTTATTTTACTGTATAAGCTATTATTAGCATCAATAAATGGTAGTCTCTGTTCGAGAAAGTGTTATATGTTTATACGTGTATGACAGCAAGAAGGTAAAACATTATTCTGACATAAAAAAAAAATTGGAATTGTTATTATTTCTCATTTCAAATATGTTATATGTGTATTCACCAACTTTTCTTATTATTATGTCTTCTCTTGAACTCATAATATATTTGAATATCTGGTCATCACT